GAATCAAGTGTTACCATTCGTCCGCTGCTTGAAGCGACGCTTGTGGGAGAATGTGGATGCTGGGATCTCTTCTATCTTGAGTGGGCGAAGGAGTTCTTAGCGACGAAGGTTGTGCAACACTTAATAAAAAAAAAAAAAGAAATACATCAGACGACCACGTCGGGACATGATCCGGCGGCGAATGGGCTTGCGGAGAGAATGGTCGGGCTCTTGAAAGAGAAGGTCAGAGAGTATCTCATCACGGGAGCTGTGCGGCTATGCTATTGGCCATACTTGTTCCCTGAAGCGGCTAGGTGGATGCGGGATTGCGTACTTGGAACATCTTGGCAGGGAGAGCTGCCATATCCTGGTGAGGCGGTGGCTGTGAAGGTCATTGATCCTGCACCTCTGGAGGCTCGGGCTGAACCGGGAGTGTTTCTGGGAAGAGCAGACAATGCGACGCATGGAGCATTCGTACAAGTACAGCGGAACAGCAAACCAACAGTTATCTTGACGAGGTTGCCGGCAGTGCTGAAGGAGACAAACAAGCAGTGGCGCACGTTTACTTCAGAGAGTGGTGACTTGATTTGGATTTCTAGCACAGGAGAGGCAAAGCATGCAGAGGCAGTGAGAGACATTGGACTGGACCTGGGACTGATCACGGTGGAGGAAACTCAATGCGGATACAGTCCATCAGAGGGTTTTCCAGTGGCAGCCACTTTAGCTTCAAAGGCTGGAGGTTCGGACAAGTATACCATTGTGAATGCTGCAGCTGAAGATGAGATGACGGATGCTGAGGAGATGCTTCGAATTCTTGCGGGACAACGGGCATCGGCTGAAATAGTTGACACGAGCGTTTTCTTCAAGGGATCAGAAGCAGATCGGACCAAGTGGTATGAAGCCGCTAAGAAGGAGATGACCACCATGCACGAGCAAGTTGTTTGGCATGAGCTGCGGGAATCAAAGCTGCGCGAGGACTTGGGTTTGGGACCCAAGGAACAGCTGCCGAAAATTCTTCCGATGAGATTGGTGCTGGCGAAAAAACCAGACCTTGAGGCGGAGGCCGACATCAAGAATGGAGCGACTTTGGGAGCAGTTGTTGCGGAGGCGGCGTTCAAGGCTCGTGTCAGATTGGTGGCATGCGGAAACTTTCAGCCGAATAGCGAAATTGAGGAGTCTGAGATTACGTGTGAAAACTTGAGTCCCGAGACTTTGCGATTGGTGTATGGAAGATTGGCTAATGAGGAAACCTGGGAAGGATTATCCTTGGATATATCAGCTGCCTTCTTAAACAGTTTGTTGCCGAAACATGAGAGAATTCTTCTTCGACCGCCAACAGTGCTTGTGAAACTGGGTTTGGTAGATCCAGATGTGCTGTTCTATGCCAACAAATCCATCTATGGTCTGCGACGGGGACCTCATGATTGGCAGAACGAGCGCACCGAGAAGCTTCACAAGGCTGAGGCGAAGGCAGATGAAACATGTTCGTATGGCACATTGCGACTTGAAGAGCTTGAGGAGTGCAAAGGGCTTTTTATTGTCAGGGACACCAATACTGAGAAAATCACGGGACTTCTGGCTATGTTTGTCGATGATGCTTTCATTTGCGGATCGAGAGAAGTGATCTTGAGGGTGAAGCGATTGATTGCGCAGACATGGAAATGCCAGGTACAAGGGTTTCTTTCACGAAGCTCAGATTCTGAGATTAAGGATGGCGACGAGGTCATCAAGAAAGTCGATGAGATCACATTCTTGGGAACACAGGTCACGCTTGAAAAGGATGGGGTGCATGTTTCCCAACGGAAGTGGCTGATCAGGGAACTTCATCGTCGAGGCTATGTACACCTTAAGGGGAGCGAATCTTTGCCGCAGATTGATGCTACACAGATTCCTTTGATGCCGAAGGACACGAAGGGCTTTGCAGAGCACCTCAAGAAGGCTCAAGGGGAGATTGGATGCCTTCAGTGGTTGGGCTTGAAGACTCGTCCTGACATCCAGGCATGCGTTGGAATATTGGCATCATTGCAGACTTGGAATCCCGAGTGGGTGTATCATGCTACAAAGGGCGTTTGGAGATACTTGAGAGCTACAGTGTGGTCAGAGATGATTCATCATGAAGGAGGATCCTTGGACATCTATGCGGAGTCCGATGCCAGCCTTGGGCCAGCAGGTTCTAGGTCTAGAACGGGGTTGGTTATTAGTGTAGGTCAGAACCTTGTTTTCTGGAAATCGTGTCGGCAGAATCTTACGGCGTATTCGACTTGTGAAGCTGAAACCGATGCATGCGCGACAGCTCTTTTCGAAGCCACTCGTATCGCAGGCTTAATCAAAGCCCTGACCGGACACAGGCCGCGGCTAGTGTTAGCTGGAGACAATGCGGCAGCGATTACTTCGATCACAAGGAATGACTTTAACCCTCTTACGTGGAGAACTCGGCATTACGCTATGAGGTGTGCTTGGGTCAGGGACATGATGCACCGCGGCTACCGCGACGCAGACTTGGCAGAGATTGAATGTTTGTGGAAAGCAGGGGATGATCTAGTGGCGGATGCACTTACCAAGGTCTTGCCAAGGGCCCGCTTAGAGAGACTTCGAAGGCGTTTGGGAGTCTTGACGAGTCGGATGGGCCACTGAGTTTTTCAAAGTTCTTTAGCGCCGAAGGAATAGTCCAGCGCTACCGTTCAATCATGTGACACTGGGGTTGAAAGTTCCAGCAGGCCGTTCCTCACGAACAGCTGGAAAGGAGGAGTGTTCTAGGAAACCCCAGATGTCCATGATGCTTTTATATGCTCACTGATGCCTTGGCTAGGCTGTTGAGCTACGTGTTTGAAGTATCTAATTAATATCTCTTGCGAACCAATTCTTTTATCTACTCTTTGAACACCGCACATGCATACATGACACACGTACGTGTTCGAGTGCTGTGCGGTAGGAGTAGGAAGATGGGCACTGGCCCGAAACAAGAACAGAAAGAAGACCTCGAAAAAAGAAAGCGGAAAGGCTACGGGGCAGCCATGTAAAGGTCTAGTGCAAGGGATTCTCACTTCTGTCCGCGTGCATGTTTTTGCAAACGACATATGCTTGTCTCGAAGGCGCCAAGCATGTCTCAAAGCCATTACACGACGAAACTGCGATGGCTCAAGAACGACAAAAGGCCACTGACCGTGAGAGGGGTTTTGGAAGTTCAGGGTTTTGTCAGAGCGCCCCTTCGGTGAACACCTTTCGTGAAGCTCTAACTCCCTCGGAAGCCAGAAGCACTGAAAGCCCGTCTGCATTAGATCACGACATTGCAGAGTTCCTTCAGTGCATCAGACAGAGAAGCACGACATTGCAGAGTTCCTTCAGTGCGCGGGCGCACTGACTGGCATTCAGGTTGTAGTGATTCTTTAGGTCGTTTGGTTTCCCTAACGTTTTCCCGATCCCGGTTTAGGCGGTCCTTATCGTACCCTAAAAGGCTCAAACGTTCAAGCTGTGAAAGCTGGTCGGCGACAACGGTCGCGATCAAAGAACTGAACTACTTAGTATTGCTATGGAGCTATCGCCTGTTCCTACGCATTATTCTGTAGTCACCGATGGAAGCCCATATCAACAACAGAAACATGATGAAAGAGGCGCTGAAAGGTGTGAGTCCGAAGGCTCCGGAGGAGATTGGGCCAAATGCCGTTGGAACGCGAGGGGCGAAAGCCAAGGCTGCCACGGTCCGGAAGCCCTGAGTGGACTCGATCGGGGCACAGTTGCGGCGGCCCGGGCGGCTGGAGTGAGCGAGCAAGCACTTGGAGAGATGGCGCGGCTGGTTGGAGCCAAGCGCGGTCGAGGAGGCGAGCCTGGGTTGGAGGCAGCTGTCGAGGAGGCCTTCGGAGAGCATCCGTTGGACGAGGACCCCGAGGTGGAGCTCAACCTGCCTCCGATGACCGGGGCGAATGCTGTCGAGACGGCGGTGCTGCGATAGCCCAGAATCTCGCGAGCAAGAAAACCCCAGACCTGGATCAGGTTCTAGATGCTGGATCTCTGCCGTCTTCAAGCGACGGAGTTGGTTTGAGCTCAGGGCGGAAGTCAGCTGCCGCAATGAGGTTTCTCATCAAGACATTCGAGGAGAATCCCCGAGCCATCTCGGAAGTGATCGAGCGCCGCATGCAGCAGGACTTCGGGCATCAGCCTGGAGTTCCGTTGACGGGTTCCTCCACGGCGAGGGCGTGGCTATGCTCAAAATCGAGGGTGCAGAATTATCACACCCATGTCAGGTGGAGCTGGCAGACCGCCGGCATACTAAAAGATCTAATGGCGGGACAATACGAACGAGCCCGAGCACGTGCTGGACTTCTTCTAGCTGACGCCGACCAGGCCAGCATCGACGGTGGCAGTGGGGTAGTATCGACCGTGCATCCAGACGGAGAACCTCGTTGCCATGGATCTCCTGCTCCATGCGCGCAGATCCTAGCAGGTATCGTTATAGACGATTTTGTGGCTTTGTCCATCGAGTCCAGGAGCCCCGAAGCTGTCGCATCAAGCCCCACCGACGCATGCAAACTCGCCGACAAAGCTTTTGACACCTACAAGAAAGTCAAGTTGATCCGTCACGAGGAGAAACTGACCCGAGATGAGCTGCACGCCGACTTCTGGGGAATATCCCTCGACGGCAAGCTCGGACTGGCGAGAGGGTCATTGAAGCGAGCTGCTCCGCTCATGAAAGTGATCCTCAACGTGATTCAGGTTGGCTGGTGCACCGTGGGTGTCCTTGAGGTTTTGGCCGGAGGCTTGATCTCGCTCTTCATATACAGGCGACGTCTCTTAAGCCTTCTTGGAGAGGTCTTTGCTGCTATGCGTGACCAGAACTGTGTCATCAGCCTCGGGACCAAGTTTCGCGAGGAATTGCTTCTTTGTGCAGGGCTGCTTCCTCTAGCAGTTGCTGAACTCAGGGCTGACTACAACGACGAAATTTTCGCTGTGGACGCGCTCAGATTGGGGTGAAGCAGTTGTGTCATGCCGGACTTCAGCAGAGTTTGCAAAAGAAGGCTGTCGACATGCTCTCAAGAAGGGCGTCTGGACGAAGCTTCTATCACCTGGGGACGCCAGGAGCTGAGCTCATGGGCATCTTTCTCCTGAGTTCGAACTACCTGGTGGGTGTCAGGATCAATACCGCTCTCATCCGCTGTGGACCTTCAGCTCCCCGGTATTTATGTGCCTGCGCCGGCGGGTGGCTCTCTTCCACACTAGCCCGAGGCTTTCATCCGTGCCGAGAAGGCCGGCAAGCTTCCTGGGCGCGCCAGTCGAATCCTCATTGGCGGCGACTCTCAAGTGGCTTTAGGATGTATTCTGAAAGGCAGATCCTCAAGCCCGAGGCTGAATGCCGAATTGCAGAAGAGCCTTGGATTCTTCCTCGGTGGCGGAGTGCAGAGTAGTCTGATGTATTGCCCTACAAAGCTCAATCCAGGTGACGACCCGACGCGAGGGCAGGACGTTCGCTCCGCATCCATCCCGAAACCGCATTGGTGGGAGCCTATGCTGGCTGGGGACTTGGGGGAACTCGACGCGTGGCTGGAAGCTTGTCATTCGGACCCCTTCACTCTCTTAGGCATTCCGAATCTGAGCGAGCTCACAAGGGATGGACCCAGAGAGATCCAGTCCCAGCTTGGCAACAAACATTGCAGGGCACATAAGCACCTTCGCGACATCATCAACTCACCCTCTTCGGTCCCAAGTCAGGTCACCTCTTCGCCGGGGACATCAAACGGGGGGAAGCCGGTTCAGGATGCCATCGAGACATCCCAGCTCAGAGGCAGCGTTTACTTCCCAAACGGTGCTTCTTGCATTGACTGCGCCAGTCGTGAAGGATATATCGATCTTTTCTCAGGCTCTGGTGGAGTTCGACGCGAGCTGTGCAGGCTCACTGGAAGGTGGGTGATCAGCTACGATACTCTGCAGAACCAGCTTCAAAACTTGTTGGATCCGAAGACTCAAGATGAAGTGCTCATGTTGATTGACTCCGGCGTCGTCTTAGGCGTGGGGCTTCTCCTGGGAGCTCGAGTATGTCTCGAGCTTTTTCTCCACCCTGGAGATCGACTGCTATGCCTCAAGGCCTTCCTGGGCTTACGCCGCAACAGCAGCATAAAGTTGATGAAGGCAATCGGCTTGCCTCGCTGAAGTGTGCGCCCGGTGCCTCAGGAAAGGGATTCACTTTTGGATCGAAAACCCGGCTATGTCATACCTCTGGAACCTCGAGGAGTTCGCTAATATCATCAGGAGCCCCGGGGTAGGGTTTTGGACGTTTGACCTTTGCAGGTTTGGAGCCGCTTGGCGTAAACAGACCAAGCTCTTGACAACTACGAGGGTTTAGAATCAGAAAACCCTCTGTTTGGGCTGCTCGGCTCACCAGAACCTGCGAGGGAGATCCAACGTCCATCGGAAGTCATGGACTCGAGTAGCCGAGCCCTTTCCACGGGGCTTGCACTCTTCATCGCGATGAACTTATCGGGAGCTTCTGGGGACCGACCGGAATTCAGGCGCTTGGATGCTGCTAATTGCACCAAGTGTCTGAGCAAGTGCACCGGAGAGGCTTCTAATCCTGGTCCCAGGAGGACTCACGCTCAAGAGCGAGCGGAGCGCAAACGGGATGTAGATCTCTTTGACATTCCTCTTGTTCGCAAGGAAACTGCAAATCTGGAGTCCAAACTTTGGTCTGGGTTTTCGGATTGGGTGCGTGAGGATTGCGAAGAGCAGGTTGCAGATGACATTCTGAGTACCTCTGCCACGGTAGCTTTTCTGCTTTTCTTGTATGGCGAGTTTGTCTTCAGATCGGGCGCCTCTCTCAGCGCCTTCCGGCGCTTGATTGCATATGCACAGCGGGCCTATGGGGACTTCAAGCTGTTCTCTAAATCATGTTGGGAGCTTGTGTCCAAGTGGGAGATCACTGAACCGTTGGTCCACAGACCACCGTTACCTCGGAAACTATGCGAGGCCATGGTCAGCCTCGCCCTGGCGTGGAGCTGGGCCACGCTTCGGCCTGGTCTTGTTCCTAGCACTCAACGGAGTTCTCCGCATTGGCGAAGTACTGTCGGCTACTCGGCCCGACCTCGTGTTGCCGCGAGACCTGCTGGCGGATAACACTTCTCGCCTGTATTTGAGAATTGCAAAGCCGAAGACTAGTCGTAGAGGAGGTGGGAGGCAACAGCATGCCACAATCAAACATGAGCTACTCGTCAAAGCATGTGACGCTGTCTTCGGCACTTTGGAGAGATCTCAGAAGCTGTTTCCTTTGTCTGCTCACACTTTCCGAAGAAGATGGGACGACATCTTGCGAGCACTGGGGGTTCAGCGTGAACTTCTCTTGACGCCCGTGTCAGTTCGCGGGGGAGGCTGCATTGCAGCTTTCCAAGCGGGCGTTCCGATTCAGGACATTCTGTGTCAAATGAGAATCCAGCATCTGACGACTTTTCATCACTACATGCAAGAAGTCGCCGCTGACAACATCATCGGCGAGCTTACGGAAAGATCGAAATCATCTATTTCAGCTGCTGCCAGTTTAGTGCCGCACTTTCTTGACAAAGTTTGTCACGGCCGAGGTCACTTCCATGTGCCATAGGTGCAAGCACCAGCTAGCACCTACTCCTTGCCTCGAGGGGCCTGCTCATTACTCAGATTTTATGAGCCGCGGCTGGACGTAGCCAGCCTACCAGAACTTACCAGCAGGCGAGCAGTGAAACAGCCGACTGCGCTTCTGCAAAGGTGCTGAGGGTTTAACATGTAGGGTTTGCACCGCTGGTCTCATCAAGAGTGGCCAATTCCGATCGTTCTGTCGTTTACCGTCCGGTCCCGGTTAGGTGAACGGGTATACTACCACTTAGACTTGCAGTTCCTTTGGTGTTGTCTCGGCTGATGGTTTGCAACTCCTCTTCCCTTTGAGGGATCGGGGTGGCCACTTGCCCGTCGTAGACTGGGGTTTGATCTGCTTCTTTGCCTGTGTTCGGCTTCGTGTTTGGTTGATTGGCATTCCCTGCCCCTCTTCAAGTTTCGGGGGTTGCAATTTCAGGTTTGCCTTTGCCACTCCGTGTTTCCTGTCGGGTTTGAGTCATTTCTGCCGCTGTCCCTCCACAGCCACCGCCACTTATAGGGTTAAGGTGTTTGCAGCACTGCCTCTGTGCAGCTTCTTGCTTGAATATGTCTGGATGAACCGGGAGTTGCCAGAACCACTCCTTTCAAGGTTTTGAACGTGTAAAGCGTAAAGGTTGTGGCCATTCCAGGCTTCAGTGTGTAAAATCTTTTCAGGTTTCAAGTTCTAGGCCCTTTCCAGGGCATGTTCATCCAACATTTTTCGACAGGTTGGTGCAGGGTTTGCCACCTGAGACAGTGTCAGTGCTTTGTCCCCGAATAGTGTGTCAATGCTGCGGGTTTCTCATGGAATCTTACATACAGAGGGCGAGGAATGACAAAGCACGTTTTTTTCATAGTCCGGTGCCGGCCGCAGACCCGTGCATTTCCGAATCACAAAACCGACCTCCCTGCTACACTGCCGTGCGCGTTTTCGGGTGTGACCCACCGGTCCCGTTCAGGTGAAGGGCATATCACTTCGACTTGCAGTTCCTTTGGTGTTGTCTCGCTTTCCGGGCTGAAAGTTTGCAACTCCACTTCCTTTTCATTGTTTTCGGATGTACCATTCACTAATGTTGGCTGTCCACCATATCTCTTTCCGCTCATCTTGAGTTGGGTCTTGCCACCATGCATTCGTTTTGGCTAAGAAGGTTTGCCACCACCCTGCGACTTGCGGTGTTTTTTCTTGCGGGTTGATTTTGGTTTAGGACTTTGCTTGCCTTGTATTGTCGGGAATTGGGTTCTGCCTCTTTGCATGTTGTTGATGAACGGGGTTGCCACTCCCGCCCCCTTCCAGGTTTTGGGAGTGTACCGGTAATGGCTTCTAGGGTTTGCATGTCCTACCTGGTCGCACTTTTTTAACTTCTTTAGGCTTTCTAATTATTCGTCCCTTCCAGGGCAAGTCTTTTCAACACCTTTCAACATGCAGGCTTTTGGGGTTTGCCAGGAGCACTGCTGTTGTGGTTTGATTAGGGTTTGCCACATCCGACAGCGTAAGTGTTTTTTTTCATAGTCCGGCAACAACCACATCCGCCGAGGATGCCGAATTCTTTGCAGAATCCGATGGTCCTTCGACTTCTTCCGAAGTCGTCGTGGTCTCGAAATCCCACGGTCCTTTCCGGACCTGCATACCACTCGTCCCGCCACAGACATGTGCATTTCCGCCTCACAAAATCTACTCTGCCACACTGCCCTGAAACGTTTGGGTGTGAGTTGTTTTTCCGGATCGAACATCGTATTCTGCGCAGCAGTCCCTTTCCGTCTGGTCTGGCCGCAGCGAGGTGCATAGTCTGGGGTCCCGCCACAGAGTGCTGACATCCTGCAATGTTTTTTCACGAGAGCTGCGCTTCAGGAGCTGTCGGGAGTTGTCGGCAAGTAAGGGAGAAAGGGCTAACAAGACATTTGGGGCCTTGAGGTCTGATAAATGGGGGCTTAAAAGCATGCAAGGGGTGGCAGAAGGCCCCTATCGTCCCATTCCTGCTATTGCTGCCAATAGCACTCGCAATATCGGTGGCACTGCTAGCAGTATATTATTCAGCACACAGAGGCCGAAGAAGGAAACTTCCGTAGAGCGCATCTGTGGGCATCTGGGGCTTGGTTTGGGCTGCTTAATTGGGCAGTTTTTTCGTGGTTGACGCTGGCCTCATTTCCTTTGGTGATGCATCGCATCCATCCGGGTTGATGACTTGTCACTCCCATCCTTTTTCAGCGTCAGGGTCCACTTGCCTGTTGTAGACCAGGATTGGAAATTAGTTTTTCCTTCCGTTTTGCTTTCGGGTTGAATGCTTCACGACTTGGTATTTTGGCTCGCCCTGCCCATTTGCAGTGTTGAAAAAGGTTTGATCTGATCTTTTGCATATATCCCTTAACAGGCCCTCACAACTTTAGGGTTTAGGCCTTTGCAATAGTCCGGCCTTGCAGGTCAAGGGTGTTGCGGTTCAACAATCCAAAACTCCACATTTTTCATTGTGTGAGTTTGCTGCTCCCGACTCGTTCTCGGGATTGCTGTCTTTAGGTTTCATGTTTTCTAGCTGTATTGTGCCACCCGGCTATTGCTGGCCTGACTGAATTCCAATTCTACCCGCCCACTTTTTGAGAATTGAAGCATTTTCAATCTCGGGCTGTAGGGTTGTTCACCATTTTCCAATTCTCTCAAGGTTTATTTTGGGGCTTTGCTGCCGTACAGCCTTTTGTGTCGACAGGGGTTTGCCAGCTCCCTGCGTCTATTCTGTTGCAGTTTAGGGCTTGCCATTACTTGCCTTGTAAGATTGGGGTTTGAGTTCCTGCAATCCTTTCTCAGGTTTAGTTTAGGATTTGATTTTGCTTGGTTTCGGGTTCTGACACCCTATGGGTGTTCGCCACTTTCTATTCCTGGTTTCAATAGGGTTTTCCATTGATCACTTCCCTGTGCAGTTTAGGGGCTTAGAGTGTCCGTTTTTTTTGAATTCAGCTTTGTCGCCCTTTTCGGAGCACGTCTGTTTAAACTCAGGTTTGGGGCTGTGCCACCTCCGACACATAGGGTTTACTATTGGTGGCCACTTCAAATAATTTTGGGGTTTAGGGTTTTGTCGCTTTGCATTCCGCTCCCGTTTGGGGACAGGTTTTCCACTTACAGCTACTTTTGGTGCTGTTTCGTTTTCAGTCATGATGATTTGCCGCTGCTCTCGTCTTGCAGGGTCCAGGTTGCGTGCCGCCCGCTGCTCATTGTTCTATTTTCCGATACCTGAGGGGTTGCGACTGCATCACAGCGTTCTAGTGCTTTAACCTCCATCCCCGATGGAGATGGTTGCCTTTTTTGTATGTCGCCATGTTTCAGATCCTGAGCTTGTTCAGTCTTGCTCGGGTTTGTCACATGGTTTCCATTTGCTCCTGTCGGTGTGGCAAAGCTCCAAGTCCCCGGTGCCGTTAAAGGATTGCAGATTGCCACTCTTCTGGGCGCTCAGGTTTTCGCCGCTTGCCACCCGCTCCTTCATCCCGATTCTTTGTCGGGTTTGGGACTCTTTGTGGTTTCAAGGTTCCCAATCCTCTCATGGCTAAGATTCGTTCCCCTTTTTAAG